ACTTATACAAATTAAGGAAAATTACGTGGTCAACGGCGACCACTGTACATGAGACAATGCCTGACAAGTGACATATTATGAGGGGGTCGTAGGTGAGGGCTGAACAAAAACGCCTCGTCATTAAGCCAAAAAGGAGTCCTGATTTTCACGGTAGCTTATGCTCCGTTTATAAAAAGTATAACCGGAGGGATACAGGGCAGTTAATTTCCCTTATAAAATGAATAAATAGGGCGAAAGAAGGCCCAGTAAATTAAGCTATAAACGCCACAGACTAGTGACTGCCATGCAACCACCACTCTTTTCGCTCGAGTGCAAACGGAAAATTGCTGAAGGCATACAGTCCGTTCTGCAAGCGTGCTACAGTGGCGCGACCTTATCAGAACACCGTGGCTAACTGAGTAGCGAAAAAAAAACAAGACCTACCTCTGTCTGGCCGTATTCACCAGAGCGGTCGTGTGGGAAGGGTGGAAAACAGGCCTGGGGTGAAACCTTCGCCGTCAGGCGGTACTCGCACACCTTCTTTTACTGATTGTCTGCGGTTTCTGAGGCGTCGGGGGCGAAAGCAAGTTCGCTTTGTGCGTGCTTGGCGTAAATCTTCAGGATATAGGCGTCTGGCTTCGGCGGGCGTACGTAGACGGCCACACAATGATCTTTTTCCAGAGTCTCATGGCGAGCATAGCGTCTGAAGGGCAGAGGGGATGCGTCTTGAAAACCGACATTATTTAAAGTATTCAGAGGATTGAACGAATCCTTCCATTTATTCGCCAAATTGTGTAACATCTGGTGGCTCAATGGGCTTTGGTTAATTGGAGTGCAAATTAAGGCTAATAAATTGAAAACAATTACTCCAGGTAAGACATGTGAAAAATAAGATCGAGACTGCCACAAACCCGTCTCACATGAATTTCCACTATTGCCGAAGAAGGCATAAGAGCGAGTGCGCCCGCGTGGAAGTTGAAGTCAGAGTATGGGTACTGAAGGCACAGCCTTGTAGCCAATTGGAAACTTCTGTCTCGATAAAGGGTTCTTGTTTAGTTCACACCCATAGATATATGTTGAATCGAACTGATAAAATGAGTTACGAGCAGTTAGTTCATTAGCATTATTCAATAGACAATATTCCTAGACGGGCACACCCAACCCTCACATGGACCTTCATCGAGTCTGCCAGACATTTCGTATAAGGCTCGAGAAAGAGCTCACAATGAGCTAAAAATTAACAGTTGGCACATAATTTCATAGCAGCTCCTTGATTTCATAACCAAGTACTGCCTGTTTGTGCAAAAGCGTACGAGTCAGTGTCTCCACTAAAATATTAAGAAACATTTTGACGAAGGAACTGTCGTAGCAACTAATACAATAGGGTTAAAGGGAAATTCATCAAAAAACAGCCGAATAAAATAAGATACGATTCACAGCAGACTTTTCTATTAGCAAAACGCGCTGCATGAGGTCTTTTGAAAAGATGTAGAATAAAATAACCAAGAAAGACGTACATTAGAGGAATGTTGTTATAGTATTTATTGAGGGCCTTATACCGAAGGAAACGACTTTTTCGTAGCCCAATGGAAACCCAAGCACTATACGAATCTCCGGGTCGGTGGACTCGCTAAGAGCATTGCGGTAGGAGAGCAGGCTGAGATTACACTTGAAGAAGTCTGATTTTACGAGAGCGAACAATGCAAAAATCTAGGAATTCAAGAGGGCAGAGAAACGCCTTTGATGTAAATTGACCAGAAGCAGTTATGAAAACCACTTGACAAGACGGAAAACCCATTTCCCATCTGGGGATAATAGACACATTATAAAGCAATTGCAATTAGGCTAAGGGTAGTTTGTAAGCCTCAGCCCCCATCCCACGGTAAAAATGTGGATTTGTTATACATCTCATTGAAATTAATGTTAGGGTTGTTATTAAAGGTAAGGGTACGTGCACGATTAAAGTGAAGGTTGAGGTTTCCATTCGGATTAATGTTAGGGTTCGGACACGGAACTATTTGAACCTCCATTTTGCACAAGGCCACTTGCATTACCATGGACGTTTCTATACCACATCCTGTAAGTGGAGGGGGGATAGATAGGACACTAGCTAGGGATCGTTCGATGAAGATGAACTCCGAAACAGGCCGACTTTCAGCTATGATGAATAAACAGTCACTGAGCCAATATCATCGGCTATCCTTGACGGAAAGTTTGGCCAAGCATCTTTGTCTAAAATGATGACATACAACCACAGCGTTATTCTTATAAGGCAGATTGTGATTTTTAGCACTCTCTGACGCGACCCTGGACAATCAGGGGGCATGTTGGCTTGAAATTGTAAAGTACCAATAGAGGAGAATATACGAGTTCCAGGCGGCAGTTCAGAAGAAGAAGATG